CAGAATATCAGTTTGTATTGATTTAAAATTTTATATACAATCAGTAAATTTACTGATTTTTTAGTTTTCGACCTGTGCATGCTATTGAAAACACCACAAATAATCAGATATATGATTATAGACTTTTTCTTATTGATAAAATTCTTTGTGATTCAAATTACTCACTGGATAGGTGTCCACAAATGCCACGTTGGGAGCGTAATTGAGATCTTCATCACAGTAATCGTCTTATCACTGAACATCTGGCATAGAATACTGAAGAGCTCAAAAATTTATTATTGACCAAATTCCGCGACTAAACAAGGAACAAAAGGATGCATTCGATAATATTTTTGACTTGATAGTTAATGGATCAGGCAAGATATTTTTCTTTAATGGACCTGCTAGAACGGAAAAAACATTTGTATACAATACACTTGCAGCGAAAGTTCGCAGCAGAAGAAAAATAGTAATCTGTGTAGCATCGTCTGGAATTGCGGCCCTTCTGCTTAGCGGTAGTCATACAGCTCATTCGACATTTAAGATTCCTCTTGACTCTGACGATAGTTCAGTTTGTGCTATTGATAAAAATTCAGAGCTCGCTGATCTAATTCGACAAACGGTATTAATTATTTGGGATGAAGTGCCTATGCAACGTCGTCAATGTGCCGAAGCTGTTGATCGTTCCTTGCGTGATATCCATAATGACCAACGACCTTTTGGTGGAATTACTGTCATTTTTGGTGGTGACTTTCATCAAATCTTGTCAGTCATTATTAATGGGATGAGAGAACAAATAGTTGCTGCTTCTCTCAAAAGATCTTACTTATAGCAACATATAATCATTCATACTTTAAAACAAAACATGCGGTTGGAGTCAGATTCAGACGAAAATAAGCAATTTTTAAACTGGCTTCTTGAAGTAAGCAATTTTAAATTTTCTAATTTTTTTTAAAAAAATGTTTGGGTGTTCTATATAAACAATAAAAATTTGATCTTAAAAATAATTACTAATTTAATTTTAGTTTAAAAGCATATGATTAATATACTATTTAGACAACAATTCATTTTGCTTGCATTTGTTTGTATTAATATACTTATTTTAGGGGTCGTCTAAAGCCGTGTCCATCACGTGACCTGAAGCCAATAGAATTGTTTATTTTGATCGACACGGATCAGCCCGAAGAGACAAAAAACAGCGAAAAAAAGTGAAAATCGCAAAAAATACAAGAAATGATAGTCTAAACCCATCTTGGTGCATTAATAAAAAATGTCGGGAAGACAATTTTACTATAAAATATATCCTGACCCTAACCCCAAACTAACTCTTACCCTAACTTTAATTAAAAACAAAAAACACGTGACTAGACACGGCTTTAGACGTCTCCCTTATTTTAGACAATTCGTTTTGCTTGTATTTGTTTGTATTAATTTGTTTTTACAGGTTGGAAATGGGACAAATACGACAGAGCTAAACAATTCAATTTCGCTTCCTGAGCATATGAAAGTTGATCTTGACGTTTTTTCACTTATTAACTCTATTTATCCCAATATACAACGAGTAATCCCTGATGATGAATATCTAAAAAATAAAATGATTTTATCATCCTGCAACAACGACATTCATGATATTAATTGTATTGTACTCAATAAGTTTTCTGAAAATAATCATGTGTATTTAAGTGCTGACGATGCAATAATTGAAAATGGTGCTGACAATACCAACGTATATCTAACCAAGTATTTGAACACACTCAACCCTTCTGGAATGCCTCCTTCTTAGCTTGTCCTTAAAATCGGATGTCCTATTATTCTTCTTTGTAATCTTGCTCCTAGCAAGGGTCTTTGCAATGGCTCTTACTTAATTGTAGTTTGTCTTATGAACTATATTATTGAAGCGCGAATTCTTAGTGGAAGTAAAGCTGGAAAATTGGTTTTTATTCACTGTGTTTCTTTAACGCCATTGTTAACTAATCTGCCATTTATCTTTAAGCGAAGGCAGTTTCCAATTCGGCTTGCATTTGCAATTACCATAAATAAATCTCAGGGCCAATCATTATCACATGTTGGACTGGACCTTCGAACTCCTGTTTTTATATATAGTTAACTTTATGTTGCTTTTTCGCGTTCTACATCTTCACGTTCGATTAAGGTTCTTTTTCTACCAGACACTAATGAATGTTCTACCTTGAATATCGTTTATCCTGAGACATTAATACTGAATGATCTTGAGTTGACTATTGCCAGTTGAAGTTCATTACTTATGCTTATTTTCCATGTTTTAATATTAATTAAGCCGATTTTATTATAATTACCTATTAAAGTTATTTGTGTTAATCTATATATTAAAATCTTATGTATGTAACATGGATGGCCGACCTTTTTAATTATACCCCTATTTTAAATTATACATCTATTTTAAAAATTTTTTAAATGCCACTATATATATACACATGAAATGCAGATCGCGACTAATAGATTAATCCAACATAATACAGGTAATACTAACGATGCACAAGAATTGCTAATATATTTATCAAGCATCAGTTATCTAACATAATACAGTAACACTAAATAGTAAATACGTAATATTAAATAATTTACCTTTTAATCACTCGAGTTACATGATATGATAACTGTATTGTTTTGTTTTTTAAACCGAAAAATTGAATGCATATAAATACAATTAAATTGCTAATAAAGCATACTTCATTCTTCTTTCTTAGAATAGTAAGAACACAAAATGCTTAGTAAATTTCGCAAAAATTAGCAAATTGTACAACAATCCAATAATGCTAATGAAAATGAAAAAGAGAGATGAATGAGATTAAGAAGAAAAGCAGATAGACGTCGAAGAGAAAATGAGACTATTGAGGAAAGAGAGGCAAAATTAGAAAAACGAAGAAAGGCTGCAGCACAATGAAAAGAAAACATGTTACCTGAACAATTAGAAATGCTTAGACAATCGAGAAGACAAAAACGTACATATGCAACCACTTTAGAGACTAATTCAAGCACTACTATATCATCTAATAGTGTTAACTTAATCACTGAAGAGCTTTCTTCAACTATTTCATCATTTAATATTTCTACAAACAATCTCGCAACATTTTCAGATTCGTTAACAAATATTTCTTCAAGTAGCGTTACTACTATCAAATCAGGTATGCATTATTTCTACAACATTTCACATTCGTCTACAAGTGTTCCTTTGTCTAATATTTCTACAAATTCTGCAGAGTCTTCTACAAGTGTGCCTTCAATTTCAAGATTGATTAAAATTCTAAGAGCATATATTTTTCCTTGGACTTCACAAGGACTAAACCATCATACTCTTGGCGAAATAGACTGTAATTATTCTTTTTGTGGTGCTAAAATGTAGTTGAATGAAAGAAAATCAAATTCATCTATCAAGTTACCAATTTTTACTACTTGCTGTGCTAAAGGAAAAGTTCTTCTTCCTTTTCTTCAAGAATTACCATCTCCATTAGATGCGCTTCTTAAAGGGACCGACTCTCATTCATGTTTATTTCGCTAAATATTAGAAAATACAATTCAGCTTTAGCTTTTACATCAATAGGAGTGAAGATCGATTCTTCTATAACAAGCACTAGCGGCATATATACTTTTCAAATACATGGTAAAATGTATCATAATATAAGTTCTTTACTTCCTAATCATGAAGATGACAATCCGCAGTTTGCCTAAATATATATATGATACTGACTACGAGTTGTAAAATCAAATGAATATAATGCCTGGGATGGATTCAAATATATTATCAGAGCTTCAGCAGATGTTACACAATATAAATCCATATGTTAAAATGTTTTGACAAGCCAGCGAACAATTAAAGCACAATCCTTCGTTAGACTTAAAGATGGTAATAACTGTCACAGATTAAAACGAAATCTGATCAAAACGAAATTTTTCTGTTTTTTAAGGAAAATTTAACATTTTTTGGGGGATATTTTTTGGGGTTCTTTTTAGCATTAGGGGTAGAGTTTAGGGTTAGGTTTATTAATAAATGAGTATATTGTAATATTAACGAATTTTTATTAACACTTTTCTTATAATTTTCCTTAAATTTTATTATATTTTATATGTTTATTATATATTTTATCATTTTATTAGTTTATTTACATAGTTTATAACATATTTTATTTATTT